TATGCGCGTGTGTATGTGTGTTTGTGTGTGTGTACTAGTGCGCACATCAATCGATAGTGACAGGTGGTGCAAGCCATATGTAGTGGTTTTGTAATAAGAAATCTTCTCAAATACTATTGTCTTTGTTTAGTTTTCTGTCTTCTATTCCAACGCAGGGTGGTATGACAATAATCCATAGGAAGTTCAAAGTAAATTTGTTAGTTGTAATGCTTTATTTTAATTTGTTGTTATGCTTTATTCTTGATTTTTAACGCAGGGTTGTACACCATTCTACGGCGGTAGCACTGTCTATGTGCGCCAAGTGACGGGTGCACTCGACTTCGACGGTACCTACACAGACAACCACGTATGTACCGAACACGTCTATCATGACAATGAAAGTTGTATAGCAAGTTTGTATATTTATCATATAAATGAAAGTACCAAAAACTTTATTTAGCAGGTTTGTATATTTATCATAGAAATAGAGGTACCAAAACGTGTTTATCAAGAAACCTACAGTAGTAAAGCAGGTTTGTATATTTATCATAGAAATGAAAGTACCAATGTAAAAAAAAACATGAGAATATATGTAGTATAGCACGTTTGCATAGTTGTGTAGATTTTTGCCTGTATATATGCATGCTCGTGATTTGGCTGTCTGTTACTGATGGCAACGATATTCCTTGATACACAGGTGTATTTCAACCATGGGCAAGGGGGTGTGCTGCACTTGGAATATGTCGCTGCGCCTGCTTCAACAATCAAAGGCACTTTCCGTAACAATTCGGCGACAGGTATGTGATCTGGTGAATTATTATTTGAGAAGATGCAAACTTGTAGTCTACTTCTCTAATTAAGGTATAAAGTGGTCTTCAAATACGTATGCATGGGCCAGAGATTGTGTTAGTGAAGATTGAGATTTCCTAATGCAGATACGTGTATTAGTAAAAGTATGTGCTTGCTGGTCAATAAATGCGTATGCTTGATTCAGAGAACATGCCGGTTTAATTATTGATCGAAATGGACGTTTCAAATTTACGTTTTTATTTAACGTATATGCTGGTCAGTGAGCACACATATTTGAGCCGGAGTGTTGTATATACAAATAGAGACGACATATTTTTATGTATTAAATACTGATGTACATCAAGGGTCGTAAACGATGAAAGCAGGAGGTATCTATCTAGAGCTCAGTTTGGATCTTATACCTATATCCTTTCGCATTATTTAAAGAAGTATTTAAGCGTAGATCATCGATCCAGTGTTTGTTCAAACACGGACACACACATACATCTTCAAACAATTGCATAACACATGTATGCCTTCAATCGATACATTGATCTACAAATGTAGACACGCATATAGAGACGAGCTAACTTTTTATGTATGTTGCATGCGTTGTATCATATATAGTGGCTCGTTTTGATGCATGTTTTTCTATTCTTCTGTGGCACATAAAGAAACTTATGACATATTTGGTTTTGTCACCTAACAGCATTCACTTTTCATAAAAAAAATTATAATACAAGCACGACTTTTTATAAACACATGCAATCATGGCCATCTGCCAACATCCTTGGCTATTACTATCTATGTGACTCATACACATCCGCGTTCATACACATGTCGCTTTGTCATGGCCATCTACTGCATGTTCAGTATTCACACATATCTTGTACTAAACATACATACATACACATGTAGCTTTGTCATGGTCATCCACTGCATGTTCAGTATTCCCGCATATCTTGTACTAAACATGCATACATACACATATCTTGTACTAAACATACATACATACTGCATGTTCGGTATTCACACATATCTTGTACTAAACATACATACATACTGCATGTTCGGTATTCACACATATCTTGTACTAAACATACATGCATACACAGATCTTGTACTAAACATACATACATACTGCATGTTCAGTATTCACACATATCTTGTACTAAACATACATACATACTGCATGTTCAGTATTCACACATATCTTGTACTAAACATGCATACATACACAGAGGCCGGCGCAGTGTCTATTGCGGTGCAAGAGAGTGACACAACTGTGACCATTGATGGGTTATTTGAGGACAACAGTGCTATCGATCCCTTTGGTTTCTGTGGCACTCGTGGGGGTGCGCTCTCCATCAGACGAGTGGGCGACAACTCCATTATGACCATCACAGGTGAGTGTGTATAGTATTGTATTAACCAAGCTCATGTATGGTATAAAACAT